TATATATATATATCGGGTAGCAATTCGATAGCAGCCGATGAGTAATGTTGTTGGCCTCGACCTCGAGAGTCTCGGTTAGCTCGAGTCCTCGATAAGAGATTTAATCGTGTTGAACGATCGTGCGGGAATGCATTGAACATCGAGGTGTGATGAAAAGCGAATCGGTGAAACGAACGATTTAAAAAAGTTTGTCTTGAATTTTTGGGATAAGGAGGAATCATTTTTCTACAGACGTACGAGGATAGTCGAAAGTTGAGAGATACGTTACATTTATAGGCTAATGGTAAAGTAGATCTACTTTATGTGTGTATGTGTGAAGAGATGTTGGGGAGAGGGGGGAGGGGTACACTCACCGGATTCTCCGCGAAGAAAGCGTCTTCTTGACGTTTCGTAGGCAGATCCAAGAAGACGGACGATCTAGACCGGTCGTAAAGATCCACGTCGACGAAGAAGTCGAAGAGGGGGGCGCCGTTCACCCTCAACAACCTCGAAACTAGGGGTGTTATGTCGACCGGTGCAATGCTCTTCGGCGGTAGATAGCCCCCGAGTTCGCGTAAAAGCTCGTAAACTGAAAACAAGGTGATCGTGAACAAGGTGTTTCTTTCTTTCCCCTTTAACGAGGTTTCGCGAAGGATAGAACGATAGAGAGTGTCGTGCTAACGGAATTCATCGCGAGAAGAGGAGGGGAGGGGAAGGAAAAGAATAACGGTGATCGAAAAATAATCGAAAATTCTCAGGGGCGGAGGAGAGGTTTTTCATTTAAAAATCGATACGTCTGTTCGACGAGAAACACGGACAACAATGAGCAGGATGAAGGTAGAGCAAAGTTCAGATCTCGATATATTCATCTCCCTGTTTAACGAGCGACTTTTCATCATCGGCCATTTCGGGTCCATTCCCCGTTCTTTATCAACACGGCCTATCGTGGATGCAACGATAAACCGATGAATAAAAGCGCGTCGGTTCACCGTATGCGCAACATGGGATCACCTTATCTGGGTTTACTATCGTCCTCTCGTTCGGGGAGAATCGACAACGACCTTCGATACGTTGCTATCGAGAACCTGTCACGCGTTTCGCTATGTTTGACGATCGTCGTCATCGACCTTGATCGATTGATTGATATTTCCGATTACGTCACGAGTCGTGGGACGAAATAAGAGAAAACTAGGTGATTAAGAGGTTCGGTCGATCGACGAGTTGAAAAAGTTGGATTGTACGCATTGAACGAAAAAGAATTTAGCAGTGGCTCGTTGCCGAGTATTATATTGTCCCTCGTAAATATCATTGGCTGAGCTTATCTGTTTATGAGATCGTTAATTCACGATACAATTTATTATTTATCAGAAACGTTTCTCTTGTTCTTTTTTAATGCCCGATAAAGTTTCAATCCGTCTTGTTTTCGCGATCATATTCGAATCAAATCTCTTTTCTTCTTTATCAATTTATGATTCGCGATTAAGTAATATAATTTTGCTTATGTTATTCTTCTCGCCAATAATTATCAGCGATTGGAAAAAAAGATTGAAAAGAAAATTTTGTCTCAGAACCCCTACCCCTTTCCCCTTTTATTTTTGTTGTGAATGCCGATGTCATCCCAGGAAAATTACACGTTCGAATATACACGGTCGGTGGAGAATTTCCATTAGAAACTCACCCCTTTAAGAGGAAGGTCTGAAGCGAAGAACTAAGGGGCAAACCTTAGAGCTCGATAAAGATGGCATCTTGGCACGGTGGATATATCCACGCTCTCGAAATCCTGGCAAGTTCGCCGTTAAGTAAAGGTTCGCGTGATTTCAATCGCGGCGAACAATCGCGCGCGCCTCCCCCCCTCTTGCACGTACGAAATCGAAATCAACCACCGCGTCCTCCACCTCCCTTCTCTCGATCCTTGTTCGTCTGTATGTTCGCATGACGCAAGCGACATACACGGATTGCTTGCTTTCGATCGACGCCCGAAATTCCTCCCTTTATTTCGCCCCCCGTCTGCTCTTCATCTCGCGTTTAAAATTTTCTCGAAGAGTAATAAAATATCTTTTCTTCGAGATACAAAAATATCTTGCACTTTAGTTCATTGTTTATTATTAATCGTTTAATTATTCGAAAAAGATTATAATATATTACAATGAAAATGCAGGAGCTTGTTATGAGAAAGAGAGATTATGCGCCGAGTTTTCAAGTTTTTAATTAAGATCGATATTGTTGTGGTTATCGCGTCTGATATTCGCTGGTTGCCAATTAATTTATTCGCGGCTTATCACAATGTGGAAATCAGATTTTAACGAAAATTGAAACGAAGAAATTTTGTAAGTTTAATAATGCTATTCAAAATCGAAGTTATTCCGATTAAAAATTATGAAAATTTAAAAAAAATGTTAAAGAAACATGATATAATAATAACAAAGAAACATTCGTTTCACTGTGAAATCTTTCGTAACGTAATTATAACTCTATAAGGAAGGAGTTAATAATAATTATCTTATCAATTAGTCTTTCTTCGATTCTCCAAGATGAAAATCTCAAGAATACTCGATCGTTCTCTTTCAATAATTAAAAATATTCATACGTTACAATAATATAATAATAATAACGAAACATTCGTTTCAAATTAAAATAAAATTATCTTCGATGATGTAATCTCAACGAATAAAAATGTTAACAATTATTCACTTATTCTCTTTTCAATCCAAGATAAAAATCTCGAGAATATTCCATATCATTCTCTTTCAATAATTTAAAAACTTCATCATACACATGTTACAATAATATGATATAACAATAAAACAACTACAACTCTCAAGGAATAAAGATGTTAATAATTATCCAGCCAGCCACTTTTCAATATAATATAATATAACAAAAAACAAAATCTTCGACAACTCTAGAGGAATAAAGAAATTAACAATTATCCAGCCATCTCTTTTCAATTCTCCTCAAGATAAAAAATCTGAGAGAATATTCGATAAAAACTTCATTATACGCACACGTTACAATAATATGATATAACAATAACACAACTACAACTCTCAAGGAATAAAGATGTTAATAATTATCCAGCCAGCCACTTTTCAATATAATATAATATAACAAAAAACAAAATCTTCGACAACTCTCGAGGAATAAAGAAATTAACAATTATCCAGCCAGTTAGTCTCTTTTCAATTCTCCTCAAGATAAAAAATCTGAGAGAATATTCGATAAAAACTTCATTATACGCACACGTTACAATAATATAATATAACGCAATCTTCGTATACATAACTCTCAAACAACAACAACCAATGAAATTGACAATTGCAATCCTCCAACGGAGATCAGATCCCTTTTTCGATGAGGAATAAAAGTCTTTCAATAAATGAAAACTTCATTATCATCCCCGATGGACGCTGGGAAACGCGTCATCCGCCCCGGGAAGGGAATAAAAAACCCCGCACGGTTGGAAAACTAATTTAGAAATCCGCAATTTCTCCCTCGATGTGTGCATATATATACACAACTCTTTCCAACTCTTTCCACGAGATCCCGCTAACGAGATAATTTTCCCCGCGTTTCTCGACCGAGGCCGGGTCGGCAGTTGATTTCACTCGCGTTCGTAATTAGAGGCGTCCTAACGAAACGCGTATACGAGTGGATCGAAAACGCGTTTAGAGGGAGGGAGGAAGGGGCGAGCCAGGACGGAGGGAACAATCCGGAAGTTCCATTTCCGCAACCCACAATCTTCCCCGATTTCCTAGGCATGGAAATTCAATCGGGATACGGCCAGCTACTGGCTTTGAAATTAACCGTCCCCGACCGGCTTAATTCATCCCTCTCCATTCTCTCCTCGAGAATCGACCATTTCCCCAACCCCTTATCACGCGTATATCGTCGTCACGATGAAACGCGTAAGCTGTGGGCGAAAGCTGTTCGTTTTTCGAGCTCTTTAAAGATTGCTCGTTCGAAGATTTCGAGAGAGAGAGAGAGAAAGGGAGGGAGAAAATTCGAATGCTTGTTGTTTAAGAATCACGGTATATCGAAGAGAATTTCAATTAGTCGAATCGATACGCTGTACGTATCTGTTTCATGCTCAAGGTCACTATTATTGAACGCTTCTACTTGTACGTGTATATATAACATTATCGAATCGTCTTAGAATCGATGCTTACTTCGTTGCATCAGAGAGAGAGAGAGAGGGGTAAAGGAAAAGTCGAAATCCTTGTCTTTCGGCTGGAAAAAGCATCAAACGCGATCGGTTCAAAGACAGGGAAACGCGTGAAATCAATTGCGCGGCATAAAGAAAGAAAAAGAAGAAAGAAAGAAAAAGAAAGAAAGAAAAGAAGAAGGAGGGGGAAAAGAGTCTGCCGCGCTCCTTAACCCTTCCATTCAGTTCTGGGTAGCGACGAGGAGACGTGAACTTCCGGCTTTCAAGGGAAAGTGCACTCTTCCGCGTCGAGAACGACTTTGACGAACACTCTCGACTTCGTGAAACACCCACCACCTGCCCGTTGTCTCTCCTCCCCTTTCCATCGATGGATGAAATTATCCTATCCTTTTCCACCCTCCCCCTTCCCTCTTCAATCCCGAAAAATCCAACGAAACTCCAACGTTTTCCAATGAGTTGAAGAAAGTTACGGAAGTGTCGACCGATCGAGATTGTCCTTGACACGGTTTCCGAGTCGAGCATTAACATTGGGAGGGAGGGAGGGGGTTAAAAAAAAGCTTCTCGTCATCAACTGCCAACCTTCTCTAACGTGCCTCGATGCGATATCTATATATAGAACTACTTTGGTACTACCTTGCTTTTTCCCCCCCTCCTCCACGGTGGCACAGTCGCTGCCGTGGTTATTTCGTGTCGAGTATTCCTCGAGAAATTCTACACTTCTCTCACCGCCCCCTTCTAACAAAACTCACGAACCAATTCTTTACCACTATTCCCCGACAAATTTATTTTAGGTATCGATCACGAACGAACTGTTGGAACGGAATAACTGTTCCTCTTATATAATATATCCGATAAATTTATTCCCGATAAATAAATAAATAAATTCAGGAGGAGGTGGAAGAAAGTTTAGTTTCGAGGTTTCCAAGTTTTTTTGGATCGAACTCGAGCATGGAATTTCCATCGTTCCGTGTTCCAGTAGGAATAGTTTCCCGACGTAGACGTAGGAGTAAATCATCCGACCGGACGACGTAGCTAGCTCGAGGCCAAATCGTCCAACCTTGACACCCTTGGCGACTTTCGCCTCGTTTTCGTCGTTTTCTTATTTGCCAACGGCTTATAATCCCAACGCTCGCCTCCTCCACGATTAATCTTCCCCTGTTAATTGGGTAATGGATCGTCGCCCGTTGCGCGAAACACGTCGGCATGGTACAGGTGCCAGCCACCAGTAATAATCGATTCCTCGCGTTCCATCGTGCCACGTATATATTCCACGGCGGAGGGAGGGAGAAACCGGCTCGATTGTCTCGGAGCGAGACGCGTAGCTATCTCGAAACAGTGGCCAGGCGAGTAGAATAGAGCGGTTACAGCTCTCTGGATCGAAGTGGATCGAGACAGCCTTGTGTGATAAAGTAGATTATGATATATAC